CCTGCTGCTAAGATAACATCCCAAGCAGACGTCAGTTGGGTGGCTCTGAACTGTGCCTGTCCCAAATAATTCAGTGCATTTTCCAGGGTTCTTTGAGATTGCTTGGACACTGAGAGAATTGAGATTCTCCCTAAATAAAGTTATCCATAATCTAAACTGTTCTGGAAATCTTTATGTATACTAAGGTTAAACCCCATTAATTTCTAGAAAGGTTTCATATAATCATTATACTCTTTGTTACTCCTATTACAGTGACGTACTCTACTAATGAATAAAATTAATGTGCTTCTTTAATTCTTATAATGAAAGTCACCATTTAAAAAACTTGTTTAAACTTCTTTGAATCCTCATCAAGTAGATATCAACTTAGATATCTGATGCTGACTCGCTGTAAAGACAAAATCAGATTTGACAGTGACCTGCTAGACCAGTGAAGAGCACAGGCTTCAAAGTCAGATTGAGTGGGGTTTGAAGCCTGTTCTTACCACTTAAAACTGTGTGACCCTGGGCTTGTAACCCAGACTCTCCAGACCTCAGATGGTAAAGACCTGATAGGGTTGTCGGGAAGATGAAATGAGTTAATACTCGTAAAGCACCTAACACTTTGCCTGACACATAACATTCACTTTTTCTGTTATAAGTCTGGCAGTTACTCCTCCGATCACTAGTTGTTGACTAACATTATATTTTCATGCTAAAGATGAACCATTTAAGAAATACCTTAAAGAAATTATAGTAAACTTGTAGGATTCTGTTTTTCAGTGTTTATCGAATGTCCTCTGTGTGCCAGGGAACGTGCTGAGTTACTGTTTTCATTCGGCTCTTCGGGGTTGCAGGGAAGAGACATGTTAGGGTTTATTTCAGTGCAAAATAAAGGACCCGTGAAGTTTCTGCACATACATGTGGCCTCTGGAGAACATGGTGATTCACCACCTGGGGAGGTATGTGTAAAAGTAGCTCCAGCTGGCTGACATCATGGACAGGGGACCCAGGTACAACTCTTACGTTTATTGCTTATTCCCTTCTCCCTGTCTCTAACTACATCTTCCTTCTGACTAATTTCTCTCTTCTGCCTTATTTCTGTCTCATTGATCCTATTTACTACTTTGCTCTTTTTCTCTATTTTGATGCCATTCTTCCTGCCGTAACACTCTCCATGTATCTTGTACTCAAACTCCCATAGAGAGATGGTCTGGTTAAGATGTATAGCACCATCCAATGTAGAAGGTGTTTGGATCAGGGCACATTCTTACACCAGCCAGCTGTGGACTTCAGGATGGGTTCAAATATATAAAGCATGGTGCCCCGGGTGTCAGACACCACCCTGGGAAGATGAATTGGCTATGGCTGGATAGGCCCTCTGGCTTCTTGTAGGGTGCCTTTTGTGGCCTGTCCAGGACATTTGGCACTGATGATAGAAGAATGAGTAAGATGTGGCAGCCTGTCCCAGAAGAGCTCCCAGTGTGGTGAGGGAAGCAGATAGTTAAACAAATACTTGAGTTTATGCTGTATGATAATTAATACTAGCATACGGGGAGGGAATGGCTAACTGCTGTAGAATGGTGGTAGGAAATTCTTTACTGAAGGCATATGAGATGACAAAAGGCATATTCCTTTCAGGATATAAATCATCTGCAAAGACAGATGTGAAATATCTTGGTGTGCTTAAGAAGAGAGTATTTTAGTGCTGTGAGAAGAGGGCAATGGCTGGCATTTAAGGGGTTCCAGGAAGAGGGTCTAGTATATGATAACAGTGAGTTTAGTCAGAGTGTTAGAAACAGAACTAGGGAAAAATCATCTCCTAGAAAACAGGTGGGGGAGAGCTACAAGAGTGGCAGTCTCATCAACAATGGCTGGTACCACAGTGGGTCAGATAAAGGCAGGACTGAGTGGCTTCATTGAGAAGGGGCCATCAAAGCATCTCGTTTTATAGCAGGTAAATTCTGTAGGTCTAGGAAGAGTCTAAACTAGAAACCTAACCTCAGGGGAAAAAGGTTTTTTGAAGCTCTAGGTCAATCACAAATTCATTCTGAGGAATGTTCAGAAACCAAAAAAAGCAAGAAACCTCATGTTTTCTACATAAATAGGAAAGGAGGATAAAGCTTAATCTGTAACAATGTTAAGTTCCTCATAGTTATCTGAATAAAATTTTATTAGGTCTTCAAAGTAGTTTCTCAAAATATATATGTTTGTTTTGCTAAAAAGTCAGAAATATACAAGCTACTATTTTAGTTAAAATAAGAAGTATGGTTCTAGGTACTAGATAGGGCAAGAATAACTCTCTCATTCATGTTTAACCAAAATGGATTAGAGGCCCTCTAATCTCACAGTGATTTTTGCAACTATCTGTTTAGATTAGTTTCTGTTTAAAAAAAAACAACAACTTTCCTGCTATAGCTATGGTATTAATTGGATAAGATGACTAATCACTGCTATATACATGCAGACATACACACATAGCTGGTAAAAATAAAAACCCTGTTTATGTGTGATCTGTGAAGACTATATGTTAAGGTTATAACAAAATGGTAAGTACGTAAGAAAAACTTGTTTTTCTTCCCAGTTTGGTTTTCTTTTCAGAGATAAATGAAGCTAAGTAGGTATGATTTTTTTTTTTCTGGCATGTAGAATAGAATTTACTGTATATTCCATTGAATCTAAGATTCCATTGATTATAAATTGTACCATTATTTTCTATGCCATGAAGAAAAATTTAAAACCCTGTCCATTAAATTATAACAGCATTTGATTCTAAGAGGCATTCAGATTTCAGAGATATTAAAATGTGAGGCACAGGCATGGGAAAGTTGAACTAAGAAAGGAAAGTTTATACAAGTTTAGTGGAGGTGGCAATGGGGCCGGGGACCAGGTGCCCCCATGGCAGGCTTGGAAGAGCCCGGGCTCCAGGAGGACACGCTGAGGGTCCTAGCTGCCTTCCTTAGGCAGGGTAAAATTTTTTTTTTTAATGTGAAAAAATACACATTTTAGAATTAATGATATAGTTATTACTTATAAAGACATTAGAAAAAACACTTAGGTTTATATTTGCAGATCAATTTAGGAACAATAAAAATTGTTCTACTGAATAAGATCTAAATCACAAACTGAGTCTTAATTAAATACAGAACTGTAAAAAGATTAACATGAGTAATCATTAAATTTTAAAACTAGGAAGATCCTTAGAGCTGCCAAAGGTGTTAGTAAATGATCATTCATTTAATATTTGTTTTAATACCTATTGTAAGCCAGACATTGTTAGATGTTGGTTGTACAGCCATGGATGAAACACTCACTGTTCCCTCCCTTTGTGGAGCTTACATTTTGTGGGGGTGGGGGGGTGGTTTATATGTTTGCAAATTGCAATGAGTGCTTTAAAGCAAAAGTACAGAGCTGTGAAAGAGTGGAGCTCGAGATTCCTAATTTGAGATTGGGAAGGTCTGTAAGGAGTTGAAGAAAAGCCAAAGAGTGGGTAGAAATGAACAAGAAAGTAGACAAGTAAGAAACAGCCTGTGCAAAAAACCCGGGCAGGAAAGATGTTGGAGCCAAGGCAGTGAAAGAAACAACAGAAGAGGGTGGGCGGTCCGGGTGACTTCAGTTGAGGTAAGACTGGATGATGCAGGGCCTCACAGGCCATAACATTCTGGATTTTAGTCTAAGCCCAGGGGGAAGCCACCAGAGGGTTTTAATGGGGGAGGTGACCTTGGCTGCTCTGTGAAGCCTGGATTGGAGTAAGATTCAAAGTGAAGAAGCTGTTGCTAGTTCAGACCGACTAAGTTGGCAACCTGGCCTGGGTGTTTTGAATGGAAGATCTGTTTTCTTGAAAATAATTTGTCAGTATTACCTGGAGTCTTAATTTTGTGTACATTTGGACCCAGCAGTTCCACCTCAGGGCATTTATTCTAAAGAAATAATCTTAGATGTGTGCAGAAGTTTAGCTACTAGTATGTTTATCCTCTATTATTTATAATAAGAAATTGGTTTGAAAGATGATAGTATTTTGAAAACAAGTGGAAAGGAAAGAGGAAAATCATACTGACTTTAAGGAAGCCACATCATCCAGGAAGATTTGTTTAGATAAGGAGAGTTCTCTGTGTGTTTGAGCGGGTACTAGGGAAAAGACACTGAAAATACAGAATTGAGAAGAGATGCTCATAAAACAAATTTGGGGGAGGAGAGACATCTAGGACCAGGGGAAGATAAGCATCTTTGTCAGGGAGTGCTGCACCATCTGGTGTAAAAGTGCACTGCAGTTCTACAATGGGACTTATTAGCCTGGGAAGCTAAGCCATGCCTTGCAACATTGTTACAGGGGGGAAAGTGCTTTTCAAACCAGAGTTGTAAGTGAATTTGTAGTATGCAGTCAGCCCATGAATTTGATTGTCTATAAATCTGAGCTTCCCTGGGTAAGTACTGACTGAGCAGGATGAATTTTTGAGAGAGTATTGCTCTGTCTCTACCCTCCCCGCCTTCTTTCCCTCTCCCTTACTTTCCCCCTTCCCTTTCCTCCCTCCCTTCCTTCCTTAGCCTCTGGTCCCTCCCTATTCCTCTGACCCACCCCTAACATTTACACTTCATGATATATTTAGGGAAGGAAAAACAGCCAAACACTTAAGTGTTTTATTATTTAAGTAAATAATAAAATCAACTTCCTCCCTCCTTCCCTCCCTCCCTCCCACATTGCCTCTTTCTTTGTGACAGTTTTTGTACCTGTGTGGTGGAAATATTTTACTGTACGGTCCTAATGCCCTTTTGCAAGTTTCAAATGTTAGTGTTCTTTGCATTACTAAAAATATCTAGGCCAGTCTCTGGCACAGAGGTATTTAACATACTGGTTTTCACTCCCCTCACAGTGTTGATGCTTAAGTAAAACCAGTTAACTTATTTCCCTTCTAATGCATATTTAGTTTTAAGTAGGTTTTTTTTGTCTTGTTCTTTGGTTTTTTTTTTTTTTTTTCTGGTTCTTTGCAAATACTGCTGCTTGAGAGTTATTAGCTGGAAAATTCCTAGAGGAGTTTAAATTTGACTTTTTGGTAAGCTTGCAGTTATCATCTCTGGTATTTCCTTGAGTATTTCCTTTTCGTATCAGTGTAAAAAAATAACTGTTCTGTAGCTCTACAGAATTTCCAAAATAGTTACTGAAGTTAGCTTAGTATTTTTAAAATTGTTACCTCTCCCAGAATGCAGTTGCTTTAACTCTTTCCTTATGAACCAGTTTTAAAACCCATGGCTGTATATATTGTGTATTGCATATATCCATGTATGGATATGAGTGTATTTTGAAGTTAGTGGATGTTTTACCTATTAGGCTTTGTAGAAATACTTCTCAAAAGTTACCAGCCTGCAGGTTATTTTATTATGGTAACTCCACAATATATTATGGAGTAAAGGTCAAAATGTTTGTACCAGGTAATTTTTATTATTTATATATGGAGTACCCCAAGTACTATATCATGTTATGAGAAAACAAATTTAATCATTGAGGTGTTGAAAAAATATTGTGGGATCACAGAAGATGTGGTTAGGTTTCACCTAGCTTATTAAATATTTAGCTCATTTCAACAAATGAGCATATCCACCAAATTTTATCTATATTGACTTAAATTGTTGGAATTCCTGGGATAAATAGTAGTAAAATACTCTTCTAAATATTTGTCTGTTATATACTTGAGTATGTTAGAATGGTGTAATTAGAAACAGTGCAGTTTTCATGAATGTATTTAATGCAGTGCTTAATGTCTTAGGATGTTTATTAACTACCTAGAAACAAAGGTCTGCAGTAATATTACTAGTAAGCCTGCACCTTCTAAATAGAACCTTTCTTTTTTTTTCATAAATTTATTTATTTATTTATGGCTGTGTTGGGTCTTCATTGCGGTGTGCAGGCTTTCTCTAGTTGTGGTGAGCGGGGGCTACTCTTCCTTGTGGTGCACGGGCTTCTCATTGTGGTGCTTGTTGCAGAGCACGGGCTGTAGGCGCACGGGCTTCAGTAGTTGTAGCATGCAGGCTCAGTAGTTGTGGCTTGCGGGCTCTAGAGTACAGGCTCAGTAGTTGTGGCGCACGGGATTAGTTGCTCTGCGGCATGTGGGATCTTCCTGAACCAGGGCTCGAACCCGTGTCTCCTGCATTGGCAGGTGGATTCTTAACCACTGCGCCACCAGGGAAGCCCAGAACCTTTCTTTTTAAAGGCTAATATTGAACTCATGTTATCAGGCAACATTCAACACTATCCATGTCATAATTTCAACAATATAATGTGATTCACAATGATATTTTCATACCTTGCTTAAATCATTTAGGGGTTTTAGCAGTTATCTTTTTAGTTACATGTCCATGGAAAGTACGAAATAGAACCGTATTGTTCTTGGAAATTTTTTTTCATATATAAATCTCATTCTCCTTCCATTTTAGTCGTGAGATGGAGAATAAAGAAACTCTCAAGGGGTTGCACAAGATGGACGATCGCCCAGAAGAACGAATGATCAGGGAGAAACTGAAGGCAACCTGTATGCCAGCCTGGAAGCACGAATGGCTGGAAAGGAGAAACAGGAGAGGCCCTGTGGTGAGTGACTGTGGGTTACCTGCTAATAAGGAAGAAAGCATAGGAGGAAATGAAAAATTAAGCATAAATAGATCCTCTTGTAAGATTTTTCCTTCTTCATTTTAAATGCAGTGGTTTTATTTGCCTTGATATTTTCTAGACAATTGAACAAAACATAGCTAAAACTATTCTCATTAAACAACTTAAACTGTTCTAAGAACTAATAATCCCTTTGGTTGAGTGGGAGAGGTAATGCTTAAAGCAACACTGCCCTCTAATGTTAGTATCTAAAAATCCTTTAATTAGAGATTCCCATTGTACTTAAAAAAGAAAAGCAATTTTTCCTATTTTATTTTGATGTTTTATCTCTAAGGTAGGATCTAAGGATCTTAATTCCAAATCTTCTAAAATCATGTATGACAACATTTTAAAATGTATTATGTATTTATCAACATTTAGTTGATAAAGCCTAAATGACTAAAATCTGTGTGGGTAAAAAATAGTCTTCATTTATGGCTTAAAGTAATAATAAAGAGAAGCTGATATATTGTCTGTTGTATTTGTATAATACTGCATAATAAAAAACTCACTGAGCTCATGCCTTAGTCTGATGTTCAAATTTACTTATTTTTTAAATTTTTTAACTAATAAAAATATTGGCATTTTAATTTAGGTGGTAAAACCAATCCCTATTAAAGGAGATGGATCTGAAATTAATACCTTGGCAGCTGAGTCTCAAGGAGAGGGCCAGGCAAGCGCTGCTTCCTCAGCTCCCAAAGGCCGACGCAGTCCTTCCCCTGGCAGCTCCCCATCAGGCCGCACAGTGAAATCTGAATCTCCAGGAGTAAGGAGAAAAAAAGTTTCCCCGGTGCCTGTAAGTTAATGATTTAGCAAATATGTTAAGTTTCTACAATCTTTAAACTTATTTATAACACGGAAAAGATTGGCTAGCCGTCTGTTAGAGCAACAATTCCCAAAGTATGGCCCACAGACCCTTGCTTGGGGGAACCTGCCCTGAGATGCTTCCTGTGGATCCATTAGGTCAAAACTAATTTTGTAATAAAACTGAGATGTTATTTGCCTCTTTTACTGCATTGACATTTACAGTGGTGGGTAAAACTGCTGGTGAATTTGCCTGAATTAAAGTTATGACAGTAGAAACTGTATTCTTCACTTGGGTATTTGGCAAACATTTTCCTTAAGAAGAATTAAGTAAGACTCACTTCAAGGAAAACAACTGATACGTTTCTTCATTGGTGGTAAAATTTGAGATTTCAAGCAAAAATTAAGAGTTTTGGAAAACTCATATCCACCACTATAAGCTTGAAATCTTCCCAATACTTAGACTTTTCTATAGGCCAGTGATATTATCAAATGTGATTTTTTTTTTTTGGATATTGCACAATGAACTTTTAGAAGATCTGCATAACTTAGTGAACCAGAATTTTCCATATGACCAGTGAATGATGAAACGAAATCATTCTTTAGTAAATGATCCATTCCAAGTATATAAAGTAAACCATCTAGATTTAATGTAACAGTAGGAAAAATTTGTTTATGTGGTTTCAGATTCCACATTACAGCCTCCTTTAAGGAAACCACTCCTTTGATGTAGTATCAAAGAAGAATATTCATCATTATTTGAAAAGGGTTTTCCAAATACGTATCTGTGTGAGGCCAGATTTTCTTCACGTACTTTAACCAAAACACCGTATCACAGCAGATTGAATGCAGAAGCATAGATGAGAATGTAGGTGTCTTCTGTATTGATCCAGACGTCAAAAAGACTTATAAAAAGATAGGGGTTAGCACAACCCCTCTGAGAGAGACAGACAGACTTCCACTGGCAGAAAGCAAGTTAAACATTCTAACCTTGAAGAACAAATGAGTGAATGGCAAAATGACTGAGATATAGTGACCACAATGGGAGATTTGGTTTTCCTCACATCCAAGGTTGTTAAAGCATATAAATACTTCAAAAAGTAAATTTTAAATAAAAATTTTTACAGTAAAGCCCAAAATTCTCAATAGTCTATTGGCTTTATGTGGACACACCTTTAAATTAGCTGCTCAAAACAGGATCTTATTAGCTCAAGAATCTACAAATTGGGCAGGGCTCAGCAGGAGTGGCTTATGTCTGCTCCCCATGGCATCTGCAGAAGCTGGAATATCCAAGACTGCTTCTTCACTCACATATCTGGTGCTTCACCTCGAACAGTTGGGGGCTGTTGGCATCTCTTTCTTACAGTATGGAAATTGGGTTGCAACAAGTGTTTCAAGCTAGGAGAGCACAAGGAACAGATTCTCTCTCACAGCTCTCAGAAGGAACCAACCCTGCCAACACCTTGATCTTGGACTTCAAGCCTCTGGAACTATGAGACAATAAATTTCTAAGTCCAGAAAAAAAAAAAGTGATTCAAGAGGGCAAATCTCAGTGTGGAAGCTCTTATCAAGCCACCACTTGCATCATGTTTACTAATGCCTTATTGCCCAAAGCCAGTTACATGCCCAAATCCAGAATCAGCGTGGTAGAGGACTACAGAAGGGTGTAAATACTGGGAGGTGTCGTTCATGGGGGCCATTCAAAGTAAAAGTCTACCACAAGTAAATACAGAATTGTGTCTCCCCTCCCCCTACACCTATTTTGGGATATGTGCTAGACAAAGTTACTTCCTCATTCTTTGTAACAGCTACCTAACATTTCATTATCTGGATAAATCATGGCTTATTTGGTGAACTACATCCTAATGGACATTTATATTCCTTCTTAACTTCCATTACTAAAAACAATGCTGCAGAAATATTTTTTATGCATACAACATTTTGCACATCTTTGAGCATATCCATAGTCTGAATACTTAGCAAGTCCAATAGCAGATGCTTGTGTACTTGTTTTTGGTTTTGTTTTACTTTTTAGTAATTGCCTATTAAAAAATAATGGTTTTATTAAGATATAATTCATATAATGTACAATTCACCTGTTTAAATTGTACCGTTCATTGAGTTTTGGTATATTCACATAGTTGTAGCCATCACTACAATAAATTTTAAAACACTTCACCACCCCAACAAGAAACCCCAGGCTAATTAGCAGTCTCTCCCCAGCCCTAGGCAACCACTAATCTACTTTCTGACTATATATAATTTGCCTATTCTGGACATTTTATATAAATGGAATCATATAATATGTATGGTCTTTTGTGACTGGATTTTTGCACTTAGCATCATGTTTTCAAGGTTCATCCATGGTATAACTCCATTCATTTTTAATTGTAGAATAATATTCTGTTGTATGGATAAACATATTTTGTTTATTCACTTATCAGTTGATGGGCATTTTGTTTCCACTTCTGGCTATTATGAATAATGCTTCTGTGAACATTTCTGTACACATTTTTGTGTGGACATATCTTTTCATTTTTCTTGGGTATATACCTAGGAGTGGGATTGCTGGATCATATGTTTCACAAAGCAGCTACACCATTTGACATTCCTGCCAGCACTGTATGAGGCTTCCAATTGCTTCGTTTTCTCGCCAACTTTTATTACCTTTTAACTATTTAGTTAGGCATCAAAAAGAACTAGAATTTCCACTGGGCACTGATGGAAAGACCAAGTTCTAGGGGAAACAGTGAAGTGGAGTGAGAGCGACATATATCACCCTCACCACAGGAGAGTTTTCATCAGCCTCCAGTGAGGTGTCTTAATCTGGGAAGAGTCACTTGCCACTAGTTCTCTACAGAGTGTACCATGGGGGGAATTCCTTGGAGCTGTTTGTAAATTACCAGTCACTGTTTGTACCATTACCAGTCACAAAAGAGCATTTAGTAATCCCTTAAGTGGAAGCCAGGAAATTGGACGCTTAGTTTTTATCACTAGAAACAAATCATTTTACCTGCTTATAAGGCGAATTTTCTGTGCTTTTTATTTTGATTTACATAATACTTTTCAAAGAAGTCAAATACTTATATAGTAATTCATAAAATTACCACATGGTTGTTTCTCTAGGCCAAAGATTTATTATTAGTTACAGGGATGACAGATTTTAGAAGTTTACTCATAACGAGTATGTCAGACAAATGCATTTGCAAAATACATTTTGTCCCATCATATTATATATTAGGCATTTTTTCAGAATATGAAAATGGTGTCGGCTATGACCTTTTTTCGGTAACTTTTTTCTAATGGAGAAGTGAGCAATTTACCTAATTTTTAAAGCATTTCTTAATTTTTTAAAAAATTTATTTATTTTATTTTATTTTTGGCTGCATTGGGTCTTTGTTGCTGTGTGTGGGTTTTCTCTAGCTGCGGCCAGCGGGGGTTACTCTTCTTTGCGGTGCGCAGGCCTCTCATTGCAGTGGCTTCTCTTGTTGCGGAGCAGGCTCTAGGCGTGTGGGCTTCAGTAGTTGTGGCACATGGGCTCAGTAGTTGTGGCTCGCGAGCTCTAGAGCTCAGGCTCAGTAGTTGTGGTGCACGGGCTTAGTTGCTCTGGGGCATGTGGGATCTTCCCAGACCAGGGCTCGAACCCGTGTCCCCTGCATTGGCAGGTGGATTCTTAACCACTGTGCCACCAGGGGAGTCCCCTAATTTTTAAATGTTGTGAAGTTTCAGAGCGGGAGAATCACACCACCTCGAAGAGCCCCTTCACCAGATGGCTTCTCACCATACAGCCCTGAGGAAACAAACCGCCGTGTAAACAAAGTGATGCGGGCGAGGCTGTACTTACTGCAGCAAATAGGGCCCAACTCCTTCCTGATTGGAGGAGACAGCCCAGACAATAAATACCGGGTGTTTATTGGGAGGCTCAGTAGTTGTGGCTCGCGAGCTCTAGAGCTCAGGCTCAGTAGTTGTGGTGCACGGGCTTAGTTGCTCTGGGGCATGTGGGATCTTCCCAGACCAGGGCTCGAACCCGTGTCCCCTGCATTGGCAGGTGGATTCTTAACCACTGTGCCACCAGGGGAGTCCCCTAATTTTTAAATGTTGTGAAGTTTCAGAGCGGGAGAATCACACCACCTCGAAGAGCCCCTTCACCAGATGGCTTCTCACCATACAGCCCTGAGGAAACAAACCGCCGTGTAAACAAAGTGATGCGGGCGAGGCTGTACTTACTGCAGCAAATAGGGCCCAACTCCTTCCTGATTGGAGGAGACAGCCCAGACAATAAATACCGGGTGTTTATTGGGCCTCAGGTAGGAACTGTCACCATTTTACATTTTATTAGGATCTGGTACTAACTCTATGCACTGTAACATTGTTAAATTTAGATCAGTTGTGTAATTCTCTTTAGTAAACTAAAGAGAATTCAAATTATGTTTTGGGAACTAATAAACACTTTTACTTAATGTGTTTATGAAGGGTTTTACTATGATTTAATATACTTCAGAATACAAATTTGGTCTTTTTAATAAACCAAAAATAAGAGATTAATTCATGGAGATAGCTGTAGGCTTTTCTTGCGTATCCTTATATATCTTATTATATAAGGATAATGAAGAAAATTATAGAAAGTTTAGTATAGTAAACTTGGAGATATTTAAAAGTGATCAACTTAGGAGTTCTAATAGAACACAGATTTATTAAACTATAGGTTTGTGTTTTTTTTAAACTCTTTAGAACTGCAGCTGTGGGCGTGGAACATTCTGTATTCATCTGCTATTTGTTATGCTCCGAGTGTTTCAGCTAGAACCTTCAGACCCAATGTTATGGAGGAAAACTTTAAAGAATTTTGAGGTAATTTTTTAATAAATGCTTTATAGTAAAATTGTCAACAGATTTTTATGATATTCCTGACATTTTTCCATGAGCTTTAAATTTAAATAGACAGTGGTCATTTTAAAGGTGTGAAGGTATGTAAGGATTACTTGATGTTTGTAAATAGTTCTCTTATAGTCTATTGACTAATTAGTTTTTTCTTCTAGACTAAATAAAAGTAAACACTGACGTGCTGTAAAAATACTATCCTTAGTAAGCTATATGTATTCTTATTTTTGAAGCCCTTAAATTGGCTTTGTGAAAAACTTACAAAATAAAAGGCAAATAATTCAATCTCTAGAACTCTTCATATGTATATTATGGCACAAATGTCATTGTTACTGTCTTTTTTCAATGTTAGGTTGAGAGTTTGTTCCAGAAATATCACAGTAGGCGTAGCTCAAGGATCAAAGCTCCATCTCGTAACACCATCCAGAAGTTTGTTTCACGCATGTCAAATTCTCATACATTGTCATCATCTAGCACTTCTACATCTAGTTCAGAAAACAGGTTAGTACTTTTTAAGGAATTAAAAGCATTAATCCAGTGTTACTTTTTAATTTTAGGGATAATTTATATATATATACTTGTTAAGTTGCTCTATATTCAATATAATTATTGAATCTTGGCTTTCAAGGTAAAATCAAGGGTAAAAAATAGTAAAGGTCATCTAAGTATATACATTTGGATATTTTGTCCTGAAAACTACAGTGCTGAAAACGGCACCTTAAATATCAGAATATAATAAGTATCCATTTCACAAGAAAAATCAGGTGGCAGGTTTAAAATAAGTGGCTACTGTTTATCAATCTTTACTTTGCGCCAGGCACCTAATATGTTGGTCTCATTAGGTAGGTTTTATCACTTTTGCAGATAATGAACCTGAGGCATTATATAAAGAATATGTCTATAATTTTTTGATATAAATAAATTATGTACAAGGCAAAGTGGGTATCCAGAATCCCTTGCAAATATAGGATGTTTAAATTTCATGACATCACTACTTCTCTCATAGATACTCTCAGGGAATCCTCATTACAGCCTATTTTACATGTGAGAACATAAGCAGACTCTTCTGAACAAAGAGGCTAATAAGTTGTAATTAAGAGATACAGTAGCTGTTAATCATAGCTGTTAATTAAAATCTGCAGTGCTTCTCAAACTTTCCCATTGCTTAGTTGTTGATAAGAATAAACTCATGAAGGATCTGAGATGTAGCCCAATATGACAGGTGTGAAAAAATTAAGAGTATTATCATAAAAAGTCATGTCAGTTTTCTTTCTTTTCCAAGATTTCTTTATTGCTTTAATGAAAAAATGAAGTTCTTAAAAATTACTCCAGAAAGGAGTGCTGCATCTCTTAGGAGGGCACCCCCTGTGTGTTCCCAGGAACCTCAGTCTGAGAAGCACTGGTATAAGTGCTTTTTAGTCTCATTCTCATCCCATCAATCTTTTAAGTATTGTAACTACTTCAAAATTCATGAGGAATAGAAAGTGATGATATCAGGACAAGGGCATGATGAAGTAAAGAATTGAGAGAGAAGTTTTTTGATCTATGGAAAAAGTAAATGTTTGAATTTTATTATTTTATATTAAATGAATTGATTTTAGAATGAGAGTTTTATGAGTTTTTTTGGACATTAGAGATTTTCCAGTTTACATGGTTCAGTGATAAAGCCAGAAGAGGTCATTTGAACAAAGGCAGAACTGGAACCTGAGTATCCTGATTTCTAGTTCAGGGCTCTTTCTCTTATCTGTTATCTCTTCTAAATAAATGAAAAAATTAGCTTTACTTCTCAAGCTTCCTTACCCAAACTTCTAGAGCCTTTCTCCTTTTGATTGATATTTCTGTAGCTTTTTATTTTGGAAAAAAATAATAACTGCTTAAAACCAGGTGGCCAAAGTTAAAATAGAAAGTCTCTCTCTCTTAAGACGAAAAAAAGTACCCTTTCAATATGGGCTGGCCATAATTTGGGGGTTTTATTGATTCATTTGAATTTTTTGTATCCAAGGGGGGAAACCAAAGAAGTTGTAATCTTCCTAAGATTATACTGTGTAGATAAGTAGGTTAATGTTTCATGTAATCACAAATTTTTATGTCTAAAATAAATATTTTAAGACTAAAATTAATAAAAAAAATTATCTGGAGATCTTATTGCAGTATATTAATTTTAAATGGTATATAAGAAACAATGAAAAACAGAATTGGGACAGACTGAATATGCATATAAAAATAATTAACAAAACCTTACCAACAAAATAAAAGCTGCAAACAGAAACCTATGGTCCAGTACATAAATGGGCAAAGGACATGAAGAGAATTTTCACAAAAGAACAATTTCAGGGTGCTGACAAACATATGAAAACTGTTCAGGCAACCTAGTAACTAAGGAAATGCTCATTTAAAAAAATACATATATATATCAAATTTATTTACAGAATTAGTAGATCCTTTGTAATGCGACAGTTCAGTTCTTATAAGATGCTTTACTGTGTGTAGTGGTATAGCCTTTCTGGAAAAATATAAATGTGACTTTTTAAAACGTTTATAATCATTGATCCAGTAAATGTATTTTTTTTTTAAGAAAAGAATTTTAATTTGAGAAATGTACAAGACTTACATATATGGCTGTTTCTCACAGTACTATGGTGAAAAATTGGGAACAACTTAAATATCCAGCAAATGAATGGTTAAAATATACCCATATTATGAATATTTCATGCAGCCATTAGAATTATGCTTTTGAAGAATACTGAGTGGCATGAAATAAAATCCAGATTATAATACTGTCATGCATGAACCCATTTTTTTATATATAAAAGGTATTATAGGTACATAAATATTAAAATGAATAAAAAAATTAATGGTTATTAATGGGTGGTATTATGACAGGTGACATTTTTATACTTTAAATACTTTGGGCTTTGAGAGTCATTGGGTCTCTGTCACAACTATTGAGCTCTGCCCTTGTAGCTGAAGTAGCTGTAGACAGTATGTGAATGAATTGGTGTGGCTGTGTTCCAGTAAATCTTTACTTACAGAAGCTTGACTAATTTGATCCCCCCTTTAGTTTGCTAATCCCTGCTCTCTACTCAAGTGATTTTACTTCTGAAGAAACTGCTAGAAAGAAAATCTGAAATGTCAAAAAAGAGGGCACAAAGAGGTTTCTAACGGTTTCTTAAAATGTGGAAACAACTCAAATGTCCAGCAATAAGTGGGTGCTTAAGAAGTTAGGATCTGTCTAATCAATGAAAAATTATGCCACCACTTGAAGTTTAATAAGTAGAATTTTTACGATAAATCTCTTAAGAACATGAAATTGTACATGTATATAGATAAATGATCTGAATAATGTTTACAAAATATGTACTTGGGAAAAAGGCAGAAAATTCCAGAATGGAGTATTTTTAAGTCAGAAAAGCATTTAAGAAATGTTACCCTTACAATTTGACTAAATTGTGGAACTTTATTTTCCCTGTATTTAAGTCTTTTGAATAAGCTAATTTTGGTGTAATTATTTGAAAAATTATTTGATCTTGGGTCATCTTTGCCATTAGTATTTTTATTATAGATGGTTGTGTAAATCATTTCTGCAGTGTTTTCGTTAATTTTTGTCATTAATACATGCATATTTTAATAGCTTTTCCCGCCTCCTCATAGTTCCATAATTATGAAAAGAGATAGAGAGACAGGATAGATAAATGGGAGAGAGAGAGACTAGTAAGTGTGCTTCAGCTCAGGAATCACACATCGTGACATTGGTGACATATTTGTTCAGCTTTCAGGGAAGTGTTTTGGGGAACTGTTATTTGCTCTCAGTCACTCAGACCTGTTTTTCAGGAATTATAGCTTAAGATAGTAGAAGTGTAATATTGAGCCCAGGAGAAAGCCTGAGCTTAGTAGAAACACGAATTTGTAGGGATAAGTAGGTTATGGGATATTCTCCTCAAGTTAAAGCCAAATGATAGATTTGCCACGAACTGTTCTGTGATCTTCGGCAGCTTACGTATAATACCCCAGAATCTTGTCTTTATGTTGTAATGGAAATTTTGTTATTTTTTTTCTTTTTCTAACATCTTTATTGGGGTATAATTGCTTTACAATGGTGTGTTAGTTTCTGCTTTATAACAAAGTGAATCAGTTATACATATACATATGTTCCCATATCTCTTCCCTCTTGCATCTCCCTCCCTCCCACCCTCCCTATCCCACCCCTCCAGGCGGTCACAAAGCACCAAGCTGATCTCCCTGCGCTATGCGGCTGCTTCCCACTAGCTATCTACCTTACGTTTGGTAGTGTATATATGTCCATGCCTCTCTCTCGCTTTGTCATAGCTCACCCTTCCCCCTCCCCATATCCTCAAGTCCGTTCTCTAGTAGGTCTGTGTCTTTATTCCTGTCTTACCCCTACGTTCTTCGTGACATTGTTTTTTCTTAAATTCCATATATATGTGTTAGCATCGGTATTTGTCTTTCTCTTTCTGACTTACTTCACTCTGTATGACAGACTCTAGGTCTATCCACCTCATTACAAACAGCTCAATTTCGTTTCTTTTTATGGCTGAGTAATATTCCATTGTGTGTATGTGCCACATCTTTATCCATAATTCATCCGACGATGGGCACTTAGGTTGTTTCCATCTCCAGGCTATTGTAAATAGAGCTGCAATGAACATTTTGGTACATGACTCTTTTTGAATTATGGTTTTCTCAGGGTATATGCCCAGTAGTGGGATTGCTGGGTCATATGGTAGTTCTATTTGTAGTTTTTTAAGGAACCTCCATACTGTTCTCCATAGTGGCTGAACCAATTCACATTCCCACCAGCAGTGCAAGAGTGTTCCCTTTTCTCCACACCCTCTCCAGCATTTATTGTTTCTAGATTTTTTGATGATGGCCATTCTGACTGGTGTGAGATGATATCTCATTGTAGTTTTGATTTGCATTTCTCTAATGATTAATGATGTTGAGCATTCTTTCATGTGTTTGTTGGCAGTCTGTATATCTTCTTTGGAGAAATGTCTATTTAGGTCTTCTGCCCATTTTTGGATTGGGTTGTTTATTTTTTTGTTATTGAGCTGCATGAGCTGCCTGTAAATTTTAGAGATTAATCCTTTGTCAGTTGATTCATTTGCAAATATTTTCTCCCATTCTGAGGGCTGTCTTTTGGTCTTGTTTATGGTTTCCTTTGCTGTGCAAAAGCTTTGAAGTTTCATTAGGTCCCATTTGTTTATTTTTGTTTTTATCTCCATTACTCTAGGAGATGGGTCAAGAAGGATCTTGCTGTGATTTATGTCATAGAGTGTTCTGCCTATGTTTTCCTCTAAGAGTTTGATAGTTTCTGGCCTTACATTTAGGTCTTTAATCCATTTTGAGCTTATTTTTGTGTATGGTGTTAGGGAGTGATCTAATCTCATACTTTTACATGTACCTGTCCAGTTTTCCCAGCACCACTTATTGAAGAGGCTGTCCTTTCTCCACTGTATATTCCTGCCACCTTTATCAAAGATAAGGTGACCATATGTGCATGGGTTTATCTCTGGGCTTTCTATCCTATTCCATTGATCTATCTTTCTGTTTTTGTGCCAGTACCATACTGTCTTGATTACTGTAGCTTTGTAGTATAGTCTGAAGTCAGGCAGCCTGATTCCTCCAGCTCCATTTTTTGTTCTCAAGATTGCTTTGGCTATTCGGGGTCTTTTGTGTTTCCATACAAATTGTGAAATTTTTATAGGGATTGCATTGAATCTGTAGATTGCTTTGGGTAGTGGAGTCATTTTCACAATGTTGATTGCTTTGGGTAGTGGAGTCATTTTCACAATTTTGATTCTTCCAATCCAAGAACATGGTATATCTCTCCACCTATTTGTGTCATCTTTAATTTCTTTCATCAGTGTCTTATAATTTTCTGCATACAGGTCTTTTGTCTCCTTAGGTAGGTTTATTCCTAGATATTTTATTCTTTTTGTTGCAGTGGTAAATGGGAGTGTTTTCTTGATTTCACTTTCAGATTTTTCATCATTAGTGTATAGGAATGCCAGAGATTTCTGTGCATAACTTTTGTATCCCGCTACTTTACCAAATTCATTGATTAGCTCTAGTAGTTTTCTGGTAGCATCTTTAGGATTCTCTATGTATAGTATCATGTCATCTGCAAACAGTGACATCTTTACTTCTTCTTTTCTGATTTGGATTCCTTTTATTTCCTTTTCTTCTGATTGCTGTGGCTAAAACTTCCAAAACTATGTTGAATAGGAGTGGTGAGAGTGGGCAGCCTTGTGTTGTTCCTGATCTTAGTGGAAATGCTTTCAGTTTTTCACCATTGAGGATGATGTTGGCTGTGGGTTTGTCATATATGGCCTGTATTATGTTGAGTAAAGTTCCCACTATGCCTACTTCCAGCAGGGTTTTTATCATAAATTGGTGTTGAATTTTGTCAAAAGCTTTCTCTGCATCTATTGAGATGATCATATGGTCTTTTTTCTCCTTCAGTTTGTTAATATGGTTTATCACATTGATTGATTTGTGTATACTGAAGAATCCTTGCATTCCTGGAATAAACCCCACTTGATCATGGTGTATGATCCTTTTAATGTGCTGTTGGATTCAGTTTGCTAGTTTGTTGAGGATTTTTGCATCTATGTTCATCAGTGATATTGGCCTGTAGTTTTCTTTCTTTGTGACATCCTTGTCTGGTTTTGGTATCAAGGTGATGGTGGCCTCGTAGAATGAGTTTGGGAGTGTTCCTCCCTCTGCTATATTTTGGAAGAGTTTGAGAAGGATAGGTGTTAGCTCTTCTCTAAATGTTTGATAGAATTCGCCTGTGAAGCCATCTGGTCCTGGGCTTTTGTTTGTTGGAAGATTTTTAATCACAGTTTCAATTTCAGTGTTTGTGATTGGTCTGTTCATATTTTCTATTTCTTCCTGATTCAGTCTTGGCAGTTTGTGCATTTCTAAGAATTTGTCCATTTCTTCCAGATTGTCCATTTTATTGGCATAGAGTTGCTTGTAGTAATCCCTCATGATTTTTTTTATTTCTGCAGTGTCAGTTGTTACTTCTCCTTTTTCATTTCTGATTCTATTGATTTGAGTCTTCTCCCTTTTTTTCTTGATGAGTCTGGCTAATGGTTTATCAATTTTGTTTATCTTCTCAAAGAACCAGCTTTTAGTTTTATTGATCTTTGCTATTGTTTCCTTCATTTCTTTTTCATTTATTTCTGATCTGATTTTTATGATTTCTTTCCTTCTGCTAACTCTGGGGTTTTTTTGTTCTTCTTTCTCTAATTGCTTGAGGTGCAAGGTTAGGTTGTTTATTCGAGATGTTTCCTGCTTCTTAAGGTGGGCTTGTATTGCTATAAACTTCCCTCTTAGAACTGCTTTTGCTGCATCCCATAGGTTTTGGGTCGTTGTATCTCCATTGTCATTTGTTTCTAGGTATTTTTTAATTTCCTCTTTGATTTCTTCAGTGATCACTTCGTTATTAAGTAGTGTATTGTTTAGCCTCCATGTGTTTGTATTTTTTACAGCTCTTTTCCTATAATTGATATCTAGTCTCATGGCGTTGTGGTCGGAAAAGATACTTGATACAATTTCAATTTTCTTAAATTTACCAAGGCTTGATTTGTGACCCAAGATATGATCTATCCTGGAGAATGTTCCATGAGCACTTGAGAAAAATGTGTATTCTGTTGTTTTTGGATGGAGTGTCCTATAAATATCATTTAAGTCCATCTTGTTTAATGTATCATTTAAAGCTTGTGTTTCCTTATTTATTTTCATTTTGGATGATCTGTCCTTTGGTGAAAGTGGGGTGTTAAAGTCCCCTACAATGAATGTGTTACTGTCGACTTCCCCTTTTATGGCTGTTAGTATTTGCCTTATGTATTGAGGGGCTCCTATGTTGGGTGCATAAATATTTACAATTGTTATATCTTCTTCTTGGATTGATCCCTTGATCATTATGTAGTGTCCTTCTTTGTCTCTTCTAATAGTCTTTATTTTAAAGTCTATTTTGTCTGATATGAGAATTGCTACTCCAGCTTTCTTTTGGTTTCCATTTGCATGGAATATCTTTTTCCATCCCCTTACTTTCAGTCTGTATGTGTCTCTAGGTCTGAAGTGGGTCTCTTGTAGACAGCATATATATGGAAATATTGTTATTGATTTTGAAAGCTGTTCATCACATCATGAAGGTTCAGACAAAAATTTGTAAAATAGAAACAAACCTCCCCCCCCCAGTCTGGGCTGCACACAAAATGACTACTGTTATCAGTTTTTAATACATCTTTTAAAATTATATAAAGCAAGGAATATAAAACTCTTCTCTGCATTCTGGGTATGCAGACACACACACCCCCCAATACTTCTCTCATTTTTCCTATTGTTAAGCAATATAGTCATGACATATATTTTGATCTGCAACTTGCTTTTTAAATTAAAAAAATTTTTTTACTTTATATATCAAGAACATTTTCCTCAATACAAAAAATATACACTACTTCAGCTATATAAGATTGTATGGCTGTGACACAGTATATTTTGCCATTGCCATAATTAATGGACATTTAGTACACCTGATTTTTTGTTGGCCTGTTAAATGCAATAAATTTTATATTTTTTTACATAAAATATTTCTGAAGGATAGAATTCTAGAAAACAGGTTTTTTTTAGGTCATGGATATATACATTTAGTATTTTAAGAAATACTAGCAAATTCCTTTCTAAAAATTTCAGGGTTTTTTTTACTCCCACCAGTAGTGTATATGAGAGCCTGTTTTCCTATGCCGTTATCAACCTACTTAATTTTTGTCAGATTATCCCATTCCCCCCCAAAGACAAATAAGATAGAGCTTTATTAATTTAACATGTATTTTGTACTTCTCTTTTCACATTTATTGGCTATTAGTCTTTTGTATTTGAACTGCCTTTTTATCTCCTTTGCTTGTTTCACTATTGAGTTGTTAATATTTTTCTTACTGATTTTATATTCACTTTGTATATAATAGGAATAGTCAAATGTATACAGTATAATTCAGATACAATAATAAAGTTACAATTTTGCCATAAATGGAACCATTCTATACAAGTTTGAATTCTGTCAGGTTATCTGCTTTTTTTCACCATATGGTATATTATGGATATTTTTCTTTGTCATCATTTATGGATCTCTGATCCTTTTCAAAGGCTTCATAGTGTCTGGGTGTACCATTTTTTTAACCTTCTTTTGATGTTCCTTTGGTTGATTTTTTTCCTTATGCTAAATAGTTCTGCAGTGAACATTCTCACACATTTATCTTTATTATGTCTCTTTATTTCCTAGAAGTCTAGTTGAAAGGTTGTGTGCATTAAAAATGTGACATACTTGTTTCTAGGAAAGTTGGACTATACATGCACCAGAATTGTCTGAGATGGGTCTTCATACTTAAGGATGTGGAATAGATGAGTTCTACAGTCCTTCTAATGCTTGCAATCTTGAAACTGTTGGCATGTAGTATGTTTGTACATAGTCAAATCTTATAGCAGTTGGTTTATTCAAAAGGTACAATAACAGAATTTGGGGGATACATATCTCTCTAAGATTGTAGTTCATATATTGAATTATATTCATAGCAAGGAAAGGTTAAACCATATCCACAACCTATAAATACGTGGTGGTATGAGTCTGATTCAAAATTACTGTATATTAATAAGAGAAATATTTCTCAAATAGTTCATATACAAGATGCTCCTAAACAAGAATTTCTAATTAATTTTTTCATAGTCTAAAGAAGCCACAATTGTTTTTAGTATATGGCATTAATTCTGTTCTTTTGTGGTTAATGCTTTTGTTTCCCCTTCTTTATAGTATAAAAGATGAAGAGGAACAGATGTGTCCTATTTGCTTGTTGGGCATGCTTGATGAAGAAAGTCTTACAGTGTGTGAAGATGGCTGCAGGAACAAGCTGCACCACCACTGCATGTCAATTTGTATGTGGCTCTTTTTCTCTCTGTGCTTACTCAATATGGTTACTCTATCAGCTAACTATATTATTTAGGATTTTAACGTGGCCTTCAGCGAGACTGGTGAGAGAAGAAAAGAAGTATACCTAGGCCCTGTAAGAAGTTTTCAACAAGTAGGAGTTTAGGATCTCTTAGGGATGAGCAAAGAAATGTTATAAAGTGTGATGCATGGTAATGGAAGGCTTGCACAGAATTAGAAACAGTTCTGATCTGGAAGGTGCACATGGAGGGAAGGAGGTGGAAGAAAGTCTGCGCAGGCTTTCCAGAGAGGGTAACGCCAAAGCAAGTTTCGGAATAACATTACCAGGTTATCAAGTGGGCAGAATGTTTTGAAAAACAGTAAACAAAGTACATGTTATATATAGCATGTTTAATAAAATAGCATTTGCAACAATTACAAGCATCAGAATAATTTAACCTTCCGTGTTTGCCTGCGTTTAGGTAAACGTAATGTTTTGAGGTTCCTTCCATATAAATCCTATACTAGCCATTATGAACAATTGTTACATAAATACTTAATGGTAAACATTTATACTTTTCTAAGTTTTTCTTCCATAATTTTTCAGGGGCAGAAGAATGTAGAAGAAACAGAGAACCTTTAATATGTCCCCTTTGTAGGTCTAAGTGGAGATCCCATGATTTCTACAGGTAACAGTTATGACTTAATGATTTGGGTATGTTTAATAAAGAATAAAAATGCTCTCAAAGTGTTATTTAAATCTGTTAATTATTTTTAGCAAGCTTTGTTAATTTTTCATTTAGCCACGAGTTGTCAAGCCCTGTGGATTCCCCTTCTTCCCTGCGAGCTGCACAGCAGCAAACCACACAGCAGCATCCCTTGGCTGGATCACAACGAAGGAGTCAAGAGAGCAATTTTAATCTTACTCATTATGGAACTCAGCAGATCCCTCCTGCTTATAAAGATTTAGCTGAGCCATGGATTCAGGTAAGTAGTTCTGATTCTTCATTTCTCAAAGAAACATTTATAGACTAATTAATGTAGTTGTCTCCCCAGTTGTTTGTAATTTAAGAAAGTACTTTTGCTTGCCTCCATCATGACTCGTATTCCATTGAAAATTTTAATTTTACCTTTGATGTTAATACTATGCCACTTATTATAGAGCTTAAACTTCAAAATTTCTTTGTAATCTCACCTCCCATCTCTAGAGACATCTTTCTAAACTAACAGACATAAAAGGTTATTCAAGGATAGACACTAGAACCATTTAATGCTAAGTTGCTCCAATGTTTAATCCTGCCAAGAATTTGTCATTTTCTTATTTGTTCCCATTTAAACTCAGTTTCTCTTATTCATATTCTCATGGCATATGTTAGGTACTCAATAACTGCTGAGTGGATGAGTAAGAAAAGAATGTGGTATTTACCTTGTATTAGTCATTTTTATTTGTAAGGACAGTTTCCATTCCTTTACTTTCTCTTCTGCTTAAATACTTTTTCATCCTTAGTAAATCGGAATTTCGGTTGGTTGGTTGGATTCTAATGATTTTCTTTGTTGTTATCTGCTTAGTCCATATGTAGAATCCAAAAGCAGACAACATCTCCAGATTATAGTGAAGTAAAATGTTTTTGATAATCTGGTAAATTCTGTTAAATTCGTTAACAGACACAATAACTCATTAAGCTTATACATCAGAAGGATTTGTCTCCTTTTTCTTTTTGTGACCATTATAGTCCTGCAGCTTTTGAATTCTCTTTTCTTAGCATGTTAACAGCCTAATAGGAATCTAATAAAATTTACAAACTTAATAAATATATTATTTATTTTATCTAGTTCATTAATGGTATTTAACATAGGCCCTCACCTGCCCCTTCATGAGTCCTCAAGAAAACTCTCAATTGGATACTGAGCTATGGGATGCCATTTTTTCAAGGCAGTGGTTCAGGTTTGTTTCGCTTAAGCTTTAGGTTGGCCTAGGCTATATATTCCTAGTTTTTTAAATTAGGAATATCATATAAGACATAATTAAGACTTATTGGTATGCTGTTTAACAGTGCCAGGCATACAACAAATTCACTATACTCTAATTGATTTATTCTCCTTTACTATCACTTTAAAATAGAACACATAAAAAAGTCATGATTTATTTTCCCCAAAAATGTGTTTATTCATCCCTAATATTTAGAACTTTTTCAAATGATACATTATCTTAGATATTAAGTTTACTTTTAGCTAACTGGTCCATAATGTCAAGAGCATGCACCCTTTCTTTTCTTTAGGGATTCTCTGGCTTTGCAGATGTGATAATGATGACTATAATCACATGCACTTTAAGTATTTCATTATCCTTTGCTGATTTGAACACAGTGTTTTTCTTTAGTCTTGATTTTTCCACTCCATTCATTATATTTTTTCTAGTTAACCAAATAAGAGCCTTTGACTTATTACTATCATTGGTAGGAGAAATACTCTTATCTCTTGAACACCTGCCCCAGTGCCTTTCTTGATTTGGCTTTTTTTAATCTTCAGTTTTTTCTCTATAAACTACCTTAACACAAATACAAATTTGAGGTTCTTCACAGATATGTTTATTTTGTTTTGTGGTAAGCGCTGGAGTACAGAAATCATATATATCCATCTAATTACTTAATGGTGTTCACTCTTAGTTTTACTTGAGCTAATAAATGTTAAGGACTTTTGCTAATTACCAGTTAAACTTGAGTATGTCCTTACGGACACATTTGAAAATTTTATATAGTATGGTGAAGACTTAGAAATGTCCAATTTTCCTTTAGTAACCAAAAATCATACTTAATTCAAAACACTTCAGTTTTTCTTCACATTGAATTCATTTTGTTTGTCTGATTATAGGTATTTGGAATGGAACTCGTTGGCTGCTTATTTTCTAGAAACTGGAATGTAAGAGAGATGGCTCTCAGACGTCTTTCCCATGATGTTAGCGGGGCTCTGCTGTTGGCAAATGGGGAGAGCACTGGAAATTCCGGGAGCAACGGCGGGAGCAGCCCAAGTGCTGGAGCTGCCAGTGGGTCTTCCCAGACCAGTGTCTCAGGAGATGTGGTGGAGGCATGCTGCAACGTTTTGTCAATGGTCTGTGCTGACCCTGTCTACAAAGTGTACGTTGCTGCTTTAGTAAGTAGCTTTATTCTACCATAGCGTTATGGGTTTCTTGGGTTTTTTATTTTTTTTGACAGTTTGCAGATATCATTTTTAAGATTCAGTAAAAGTACTTTACCTAATTTAATTTTGGAAAATCCAAAATTTTTTTTTATTCCATAATCCCAGGAAATTGCAGTCTTCCATTTAATCTCTTCACTAGGATTTTACTCATTTTAGTCTGGTCAGGTTTTCTTATATGCTGTTTACTTTTCTCTACTCTAAAGTAGCAATAGTAGGACTTCCCTCATGGCGCAGTGGTTAAGAATCACCTACCAATGCAGGGGACAGGGGTTCTATCCCTGGGCCGGGAAGATCCCACATGCCGCAGAACAGCTAAGCCCTCGAGCCACAACTGCTGAGCCTGCGTGCCACAACTACTGATCCTGAGTATCTAGAGCCTATGCCCTGCAAGAAGAGAAGCCACTGCAACGAAGCCCCTGCTTGCCGCAACTAGAGGAAGCCCACGCACAGCAATGAAGACCCAACGCAGCCAAAAAAAAGCAATAGCTTGCTATTCATACCTTCACGTTTGCCTTACATTATACATGACCAAATCTTTATGGGATAGCAAAGTAACCAGAGTTACTTTGATTTTTTTTAAATTTGATATTAGACATTTATTTTTTATTAATTTTATATTAGACATTAAGAACTGATTTGGGGGACTTCCCTGGTGGTCCAGTGGTAAAGAATCTGCCTTGCAGTGCAGGGGACGCAGGTTTGATCCCTGGTCAGGGAACTAAGATTCCACGTGCTGTGGGACAACTAAGCCTGCATGCCACAACTACTCAGCTCACAGGCCTCAACAAGAGAGCCCATGTGCTGCAAACTACAGAGCTGACACACCCTGAAGCCCGTGAACCACAGCTAGAGAGAGAAAACCCACATGCCACAACTAGAGAGAAACCCAAGCACTGCAACGAAAGATCCCACGTGCCTCAACGAAAGATCCCGCGTGCCACAACTAAGACCTGACACAGCCAAAAATAAAATAAATAAATATAAAAAAAAAAGAACTGATTTTTAATGAACGTTGTATGGAAATTCAGAAACCTTTTCACAAAAGAGGATTCCATGACATAGATTACTGAGTTGTTTTTCTAGTTTAACCTGTTAGAAGTTGTCTTTCATGAGTGAGATGGAATGACAAGGAGGCTATTCTGTTTGTAATTTTGTATGCTAAAATTTGACTTTCTCCATTATGAGTATATATATCTTTAGAACAGGGTTTCTCAACCTCAGCACTTACTGACATTGACACGTAATTATCTGTTGGGGGCAGGGGTGCTGTCTTATGCACTATAGGATGTTTAGTAGCATCCTTGGACTATACCCACTAGATACCAATGGCCACCCTATCCTCCCCTTAGTCATGACAACCAACAATGTCTCCAGGCATTGCTGAGTGTCCCCTGAGGGCCAAAACTGCCCCAAGTTCAGGACCACCGCTTTATTTATTTATTTGTTATTTATTTATTTTTACAGCAGGTTCTTATTAGTCATCAATTTTATAATTTTATCCACATCAGTGTATACATGTCAATCCCAATCTCCCAATTCATCCCACCACCACCACCACCCTGCCCCCCTGCCACTTTCCACCCTTGGTGTCCATATATTTCTTCTCTACATCTGTGTCTCAATTTCTACCCTGCAAACCGGTTCATCTGTACCATTTTTCTAGCTTCCACATATATACGATAATATATGGTATTTGTTTTTCTCTTTCTGACTTTACTCTGTATGACAGTTTCTAGATTCATCCACATCTCTACAAATGACCCAATTTTGTTCCTTTTTATGGCTGAGTAATACTCCATTGTGTATATGTACCACATCTTCTTTATCCATTCGTCTGTCAGTGGGCATTTAGGTTGCTTCCATGACCTGGTTATTGTAAATAGTGCTAAAATGAACATTGGGGTGCATGTGTTTTTTTAAATTAATGGTTTTATCTGGGTATGTGCCCAGTAGTGGGATTGCTGGGTCACATGGTAATTCTATTTTTGTTCTTTAAGGAACCTCCATACTGTTCTCCATAGTGGCTGTATCAACTGAAATTCCCACCAACAGTGCAAGAGGGTTCCCTTTTCTCCACACCCTTTCTAGCATTTGTTGTTTGTAGATTTTCTGATGATGCTCATTCTAACTGGTGTGAGGTGATACCTCATTGTAGTTTTGATTTGCATTCCTCTAATAATTAGTGATGTTGAGCAGCTTTTCATGTGCTTCTTGCCATCTGTATGTCTTCTTTGGAGAAATGTCTATTTAGGTCTTCTGCCCACTTGCCGATTGGGTTGTATGTTTTTTTAATATTGAGCTGCATGAGCTGTTTATATATTTTGGAGATTAATCCTTTGTCCATTGATTCGTTTGCAAATATTTTCTCTCATTCTCAGGGTTGTCTTTTCGTCTTGTTTGCAGTTTCCTTTGCTTTGCAAAAGCTTTTAAGTTTCAGTAGGTCCCATTTGTTTATTATTTTTTTTAATTTCCATTACTCTAGGAGGTGGATCAAAAAAGATCTTGCTGTGACTTATGTCGAAGAGTGTTCTTCCTATGTTTTCCGCTAAGAGTTTTATAGTGTCCAGTCTTACATTTAGGTCTCTAACCCATTTTGAGTTTATTTTTGTGTATGGTGTTAAGGAGTGTTCTAATTTCATTCTTCTACATGTAGCTGTCCAGTTTACCCAGCACCACTTATTGAAGAAACTGTCTTTTCTCCATTGTATATCCTTGCCTTGTTTCTCATAGATTAGTTGACCATAGGTGCATGGGTTTATCTCTGGGCTTTCTATCCTGTTCCATTGATCTGTATCTCTGGTTTTCTGCCAGTACCATATTGTCTTGATTACTGTAGCTTTGTAGTATAGTCTGAAGGCAGGGAGTCTGATTCCTCCAGCTCCTTTTTTTCCCTCAAGACTGCTTTGGCTATTCAGAATCTTTTGTGTCTCCATACATATTTTAAGATTTTTTGTACCAGTTCTATAAAAAATGCCATTGGTAATTTGATAGGGATTGCATTGAATCTGTAGATTGCTTTGGGTAGTATAGTCATTTTCACAATATTGATTCTTCAAATCCAAGAACATGGTATATCTCTCCATCTGTTTGTATCATCTTTAATTTCTTTCATCAGTGTCTTACAGTTTTCTGCATACAGGTCCTTTGTCTCCCTAGGTAGGTTTATTCCTAGGTATTTTATTCTTTTTGTTGCAGTGGTAGATGGGAGTGTTTCCTTAATTTCTCTTTCAGATTTTTCCTCATTAGTGTAAGATTCCTGTGCATTAATTTTGTATCCTGCAACTTTACCAGATTCATTGATTAGCTCTAGTAGTTTTCTGGTGGCATCTTTAGGATTCTCTATGTATAGTATCATGTCATCTGCCAACAGTGACAGTTTTACTTCTTCTTTTCCAATTCGTATTCCTTTTATTTCTTTTTCTTCTCTGATTGCCACAACTATGACTTCCAAAACTATGTTGAATAATAGTGGTGAGAGTGGACATCCTTGTCTTGTTCCTGATCTTAGAGGAAATGCTTTCAGTTTTTCACCATTGAGAATGATGTTTGCTGTGGGTTTGTCGTATATGCCCTTTATTATATTGAGGTAGGTTCCCTCTATGCCCACTTTCTGGAGAGTTTTTTATTATAAATTGGTGTTGAATTTTGTCAAAAGCTTTTTCTGCATCTATTGAGATGATCATATGGTTTTTATTCTTCACTTTGTTAATGGTGTATCACATGATTGATTTTCATATATTGAAGAATCCTTGCATCCTTGGGATAGATCCCACTTGATCATGGTGTATGATCCTTTTAATGTGTTGTTGGATTCTATTTGCTAGTATTTTGTTTAGGATTTTTGCATCTGTATTCATCAGTGATATTGGTCTGTAATTTTCTTTTTTTCTAGTGTCTTTGTCTGGTTTTGGTATCAGGGTGATGGTGGCCTCATAGAATGAGTTTGGGAGTGTTCCTTCCTCTGCAGTTTTCTGGAAGAGTTTGAGAAGGATGGGTGTTAGCTCTTCTCTAAATGTTTGGTAGAATTCACCTGTGAAGCCATCTGGTCCTGGACTCTTGTTTGTTGGAATATTTTTAATCACAGTTTCAATTTCATTACTTGTGATTGGTCTGTTCATATTTTCTATTTCTTCCTGGTTCAGTCTTGGAAGGTTATACCTTTCTAAGAATTTGTCCATTTCTTCCAGGTTGTCCATTTTATTGGCATAGAGTTGCTTGTAGTAGTCTCAGGATGCTTTGTATTTCTGCAGTGTCTGTTGTAACTTCTCCTTTTTCATTTCTAATTTTATTGATTTGAGTCCTCTCCCTCTTTTTCTTAATGAGTCTAGCTAATGGTTTATCAATTTTGTTTATCTTCTCAAAGAACCAGCTTTTAGTTTTATTGATCTTTGCTGTTATTTTGTTTCTATTTCATTTATTTCTTCTCTGATCTTTATGATTTCTTTCCTTCTGCTAACTTTGGGTTTTGTTTGTTCTTCTTTCTCTAGTTCCTTTAGGTGTAAAGTTAGATTGTTTATTTGAGATTTTTCTTGTTTCTTGAGGTAGGCTGGTATTGCTATAAACTTCCCTCTTAGAACAGCTTTCACTGCATCCCATAGGTTTTGGATCGTCATGTTTTCATTGTCATTTGTCTCTAGATATTTTTTGATTTCCTCTTTGATTTCTTCAGTGATCTCTTGGTTATTTAGTAACGTATTATTTAGCCTCCATATGTTTGTGTTTTTTACGTTTTTTTTTTCCCTGTTATTGATTTCTAATCTCATAGTGTTGTGGTCAGAAAAGATGCTTGATATGATTTCAGTTTTCTTAAATTTACTGAGGCTGATTTGTGATCTATCCTGGAGAATGTTCTGTGTGCACTTGAGAAGAAAGTGTAATCTGCTGTTTTGGGATGGAATGTCCTATAAATATCAATTAAATCTGTCTGGTCTATTGTGTCATTTAAAGCTTGTGTTTCCTTAGTAATTTTCTGTTTGGATGATCTGTCCTTTGGTGTAAGTGAGGTGTTAAAGTCCCCTACTATTACTGTGATACTGTTGATTTCCTCTTTTATAGCGGTTAGCAGTTGCCTTATGTATTGAGGTACTCCTATGTTGGGAGCATATATATTTATAATTGTTACATCTTCTTCTTGGATTGATCCCTTGATCATTATGTAGTCCTTCCTTGTCTCTTGTAACATTCTTTAAAGTCTATTTTATCTCATACGAGTATTGCTACTTCAGCTTTCTTGATTTCAATTTGCATGGAATATCTTTTTCCATCCCCTCACTTTCAGTGTGTATGTGTCCCTAGGTCTGAAGTGGGTCTCTTGTAGACAGCATATATATGGGTCTTGTTTTTTGTATCCATTCAGCGAGCCTGTGTCTTTTGGTTGGAGCATTTAATTCATTCACATTTAAGGTAATTATCGATATGTATGTTCCTATGACCATTTTCTTAATTGTTTTGGGTTTGTTTTTGTAGGTCCTTCTCTTCTCTCTCTTGTGTCTCCCACTTAGAGAAGTTCCTTTAGCATTTGTTGTAAAGCTGGTTTGGTGGTGCTGAATTCTCTTAGCTTTTGCTTGTCTGTAAAGCTTTTGATTTCTCCATTGAATATTGCCGGGTAGAGTAATCTTGGTTGTAGGTTCTTCCCTTTCATCACTTTAAATATGTCATACCACTCCCTTCTGGCTTATAGAGTTTCTGCTGAGAAGTCAGCTGTTAATTTTATGGGAGTTCCCTTGTATGTTATTTGTCGTTTTTCCCTTGCTGCTTTCAGTAATTTTTCTTTGTCTTTAATTTTTGCCCATTTGATTACTGTGTGTCTCGGTGTGTTTCTCCTTGGGTTTATCCTGTATGGGACTCTCTGCACTTCCTGGACTTAGGTGGCTATTTCCTTTCCCATGTTAGGGAAGTTTTCGACTATAATCTCTTCAAGTATTTTCTCGGGTCCTTTCTCTCTCTCTTCTCTTTCTGGGACCCCTATAGTGCGAATGTTGTTATGTTTAATATTGTCCCAGAGGTCTCTTAGGCTGTCTTCATTTCTTTTCATTCTTTTTTCTTTATACTGTTCTGAAGCAGTGAATTCCACCATTCTGTCTTCCAGATCACTTATCCGTTCTTCTGCCTCAGTTATCATGCTACTGATTCCTTCTAGTGTATTTTTCATTTCAGTTATTGTATTGTTCATCTCTGTTTATTTGTCCTTTAATTCTTCTAGGTCTTTGTTAAACATTTCTTGCATCTTCTCGATCTTTGCCTCCATTCTTTTGCTGAGGTTCTGGATCATCTTCACTATCATTATTCTGAATTCTTTTTCTGGAAGGCTGCCTACCTCAACTTCATTTAGTTGTTTTTCTGGGGTTTTATCTTGTTCCTTCATCTGGTACATAGCCCTCTGCCTTTTCATCTTGTCTGTCTTTCTGTGAATGTGGTTTTTGTTCCACAGGCTGCAGGATTGTAGTTCTTCTTAGGACCACTGCTTTAGAATAATTCTTATCTGTTTTTTTTTTAATTTTGATTTTAATTTTTTATTTTTGGGGTAGGAGTTTATTAATTTATTTTTGCTGTGTTGGGTCTTCGTTTCTGTGCGAGGGCTTTCTCTAGTTGTGGCAAGCGGGGGCCACTCTTCATCACAGTGCCCGGGCCTCTCACTATCGCAGCCTTTCTTGTTGTGGAGCACAGGCTCAGTAGTTGTGGCTCACGGGCCTAGTTGCTCCACGGCATGTGGGATCCTCCCAGACTAGGGCTCAAACCCGTGTCCCCTGCATTAGCAGGCAGATTCTCAACCACTGTGCCACCAGGGAAGCCCTCTGGTCTGGTTTTTTTAAAAAATTCTTCCACTTCATTTTAAAATTTTATTTATTTATTTTATTTATTTGTTTTTCGCTGCGTTGGATCTTCGTTGCTACACACACACTCTCTCTCTAGTTGCAGTGTGCTGGCTTCTCTTGTTGCAGAGCATGGGCTTTAGGCGTGCAGGCTTCAGTAGTTGCAGCATGCAGGCTCAGTAGTTGTGGTTCGCGGGCTCTATAGCACAGTCAGTAATTGTGGCACACAGGATTAGTTGCTCCACGGCACGTGGGATCTTCCCAGACCAGGAATCCAACCTGTATCCCCTGCATTGGCAGGAGGATTCTTAACCACTGTGCCACCAGGGGAGTCCCTGGTCTGTTTTTAAAACTCATTTCATTTCTCTGCTTCCACTCTTAATCTTTTTCTAATCCGTCCTATAACAACGATGCCTAACAAATCTTCTTTTTGAAAGAATATAGTATAGTGTTTATGAACATTAGTTTGGAGTCAAAATTGAGTGACCTCATAACTTAACATCCCAACTGGGATACTTGGATAATCTGCTAAACTGGAACTAGCCTAGGCAATCTGGATATATGGTCAAAATCAGAAAGACTTTGATTTGAATTCTGGTTCTCCAGTTTGCTAGCAGTGTAACTTTTTAGGACTCTTAAACTTCATCTTTTTCACCTATAAAATAATGAAAATATGTACCTCTTAGGTTTGAAATTAGATTGTGTAGATACCTCTAACTGTAATGTCTAGTACATTGTGAGAACATTGAATATAATAGTCGTCATTATTCCTTAAATGCCACTTTATTTCCCAGCTCAGAAACCTATAGAGGTTTCTGTTTCTTCAACAGCATTTCCTAAGGCATATTCTGTGGAAGTTTGGCTGGATTATGAAAAGTTCCTTCCCTTTCTTCCCTGTGTTCAGTTAAAATTGGTGAATACTAAATTGCATGAGGTTAAATGGGTCTGTTCACTGAAAGGCTTCTAGGAACCTTCATACGTTAACATACATTGGGAATCTGATCATGGCATAAGATGCATTATTTCCCAAATTTATCTTAAGCATCTTGAGGGACCAACATACTATAGAATACTATAGAATAAAGACCAGCATACTGTAGAATAAAGACCAGCATAATGTAGAATAAAGACCAGGGTTCTTGGCTCAACTTTTTACCTCTTTCTTCTTACTATTTTCCAACACAAACCTTCAGACATATTTGACTGTTCAATATAATGCCTTACTATCTGGTTGTTTATGATCACTTCACATGGTTTCCCAATGTGTTCATGAGCTCCTAGAGTGCAGGGACTCTGAATGATACTGTATTCTGATTCCTCTACAGTTATTTAGTGTGCCAGGCACAGTGAGGGCAGACATGGTTCCTGCCCTTAGAGCTCTCCCTTCCCTTTCTCCCCACCTCTTGCCCTTCTTTGTTTTCCCTTCCCCTCCCTCCCCATATATAATTTTTTGCTGAACAATTTGAAAGTTATGTGCAGGCATCATGACATTTCACTTCAAATACTTTAGCATGTATCTCTTAAGAACAGATAACATTCTTCTGTATAATCACCATGCAATCAGCAAACTCTGAAAATTTAGCATTAATTACAATAGTATTAGGGACTATAAAGTCCATATTCAGATATCCCCAAATTGTCCCAACAGTGTCCTTTTCAGCTAAACTACAGACTTTATTCATATTTCACCCATTTTTCCATTAATGTCTTTTTTCTCTTTTAGGATCCAATCCAGAATCTCACATTGCACTTAGTTATCATGCCCCCCTAATTTTCCCATCTGTGGCAATCCCTCAGTCTTTACTTGTCTTTTGTAGACCTTGACACTTTTGAAGTGTATTGGCCAGTTATTTTGAAGAATGTTCCTCAGTTTGGGTTTATCTGGTATTTTCTCACGATTACATTATGCATTTTTCGCAAGAACACCAGAGGTGATGTGCCCTTCTCAGTGCATTGTTATCAGGGGGTATATCATGTCAGTGTGTCTTATTATTGGTGATGCCATCCTTCATCACTTGCTTAAGGTGCTGTCTACTGGGTACTGTAAAATTACTATTAATAAATGTCTTGGGGGAGATAACTTTGAGACTATGCAAATATCCTGTTTCTATTCACAGATTTTAGCATTTGTCAGTGGATCTTGCCTACAGCAATGACTACTGTGGTGTTCTAACAGTGATCTTCTATTTCCCATATTCCTCCTTTATTAGTTAATTGGAATTTGTCTATAACGAAGAGCCGTCTCTTCTCTCCCATTTATGTATTTATTCAGTTTTTTTATTTCTATCACCATAGACTCATGGGTATTTATTTTATTCTATGGCTTATAATTCAGTACTATGATCATTTACTTTGTGCCCAAGTTATTCCATCTTTAGCCATTGGGAGCTCTTTCAAGTTGGCTCCTTTCCTCATTTTCTTTTTAAAATAACTTTTTATTCTGAAATTAATTCAGACTTTAAAAATTTACAGAAATAGTTGAGAGTTCCTTTCTACCTTATCTATTTATTTATCCAATTTTTTATTTGTATCAGTATCAACTCATGGATTCTTATTTATGGGTTATAATCTATTCCTATCATTATTTTATTTCTCAAATTGTCTCAGATTAGGCCATTGTCTCTGATGCTTTTTAAATGTAGTTAAACTGACCTTCAGTTTTTTTCCCCCAGAAAACGTTGAGAGCCATGCTAGTATATACTCCTTGCCATAGTTTGGCAGAAAGAATCAAACTGCAGAGACTTCTCCGGCCAGTTGTAGACACCATCCTAGTCAAGTGTGCAGACGTCAATAGGTAAGGCCCTATAAATGAACTGCTTCAAACCGCCTTGTCCTGAAAGCCTAGCACAGAGCCTCAAACCTAGTGAGTATTTGATACATACTTACTAAATGAGGCTTTGAATACTGTTTTATAATGTGAGATTTGAAATTAACATGTAACATTTAAAGCTCTTAAGGACTAGGAAGAACTAATGGCAAGTAAAAACCAGGCTAACAAATTGCGTGGACCTCCACATTATTGTATGGTGATTGATTCTCTTTTATTTTAAAGTAATATTCTTATAACTGAAGTCCAGTTGATAAGACCAGCAGGTGATATATGAGATATTATCTCATTTTAGAGAATGAGTTACACAGGATAGGAACCAATAAAATCATTATACATGCTTTGCATTATCAGGACCAAAAAAACAAAAACCCCATTCCATTATTTTCTTTGTGATGGAATTTTACTCTGTGATAGTTTTGTCAAATAACAACAACAACAATTCCATATATCCCTGCAATATCCTTAAAAATCAGCAAGGAACAGGAACAGCCCTAACTGGAGGTAGAGAAATTAGGGTATGGTGATAGGGAAAATGAGCACAAGCTATGCTTTTATTAAGACCGCTGGTTCTCTCTCTCTCTTTTTTATTTTTTCCCTTTCCATAAAGTGGGAGGAAAAGACCACTTTTCATATAATGAGCATAGCTACAGTAAACACTTTTTTGGCAGTTCTCATCTCTTCGTGTCCCAGCAGATCTCAGGTGGTAAGAAGCACTGACTCTCCCTTGGTTTGCCTCTGCCATTACCTCCTTTTGGAGCTCTTCTAGTCCAGTTTTGTCTTCCTCCCTAAGTCACATGATGTAGTCTGTAGAGGATCTCAGAAATTAAGCACTTAACTTTGACTTGTTTCTCATCTCATAAAGTCTGTCTTTTGTCTCCATTGTTTCTCTACACAAGCCTACAGATTGTAAGTATTAGAGGTTTTCTTGTTGCTTAGAGAGAATACTATAAATATCTGAAAAAAATTAACAAGTAATTTGAAAAATGCATAGAAAAATCATTTCATTTCTTAATATTATAATAGGGTTTTTTCCCCTAAGAATTCAGTGCTTTTATGGCATTTGTTTTGTTGTCCGCTTTCTGAAATTCTAAAGTTAGGTGGTTTACTTGGTCACTTGAATGACTGAACATCATAAGAAATATGGTAAAGAGATTTTATGATATTTAGAAGTCATTCTGGCTATATAAAGAGAATATAAAGGTTTTGGATGGGAAGACTTTGTTTTTAATTCAAGAGAACTTAATGAAAATTCAGAAATCAAAATGTCTGAGTCTTTTCTTTCTTATTTTAACAAGATATGATAATGAAAATAAGCCTTTTATCTGGTTTCATATTTAATACTTGCTGTTGAAGAGCCAGTAGTGAAGATTCTGTGCTTAACACAGAAGATAAGGTAAAATTTATGAAATTAGACCTAATAATAAATATTATTACTTATAATGACATCATTAATGCAGTTTTAGTGGTTGAGAAGCAAACACTCCTAAAAACATTTTTTCCCACCTTTTCACAAGGCATTACATTACCACTCTCCTTTTAATACGTATTTTATCCAAGATTAAAGTCTGATGTTGCTTCCTTTCATTTTTAGTCGCACAAGTCAGCTGTCTATATCAACGCTATTGGAATTGTGCAAAGGCCAAGCAGGAGAGTTGGCCGTTGGCAGAGAAATACTTAAAGCTGGTAATAACTTTTTACTTAAAATTAATATAGCATGTTTTATCATTTTCCTTAGATGGTCTAATCTCAAAATCTCTAATAGGGCAGTTATAGGCTTTTGAAATAATTTTGTAAATTGACTCAGCTAACATTAGAAATAGGAATTAATCTAAAAGGGAGATTCTTGAAATTAATATAATTCAAGTATTTTTGTTAACCTTAAACCATTTGATCATGTTTTGTTTTAGATTTTAATACCACTGTTTTTCAGTTATTTTTACTTTCCTTTCTGTAGGATCCATTGGTATTGGTGGTGTTGATTATGTCTTAAATTGTATTCTTGGAAACCAAACTGAATCAAACAACTGGCAAGAACTCCTGGGCCGCCTTTGTCTCATAGATAGACTGCTGTTGGAATTTCCTGCTGGATTTTACCCTCATACTGTCAGTACTGATGTTTCACATCTCCCCCTCTCCCCTCCCCCCCCCCCCCCCCCCCCGCCACACCCATCCAAGGACACATTTTAGATGAATGAAAGACTCAAATTACAGCGCACATGTAGGTTACTGATACCTTAATATTTGATTGGAGAATACCTGAAGTCTAGGCTATTTAATTAAAAATTTATAGATCCTTTATACTGATTTTTTAAATGTAAAAGCTGTGAATTAGTACCGTTTTCTTTATTTGTTTATATTTTGCAGTAATTTTGTTTCATAATTGAATGTGTTTTTTCTTTCAGGTATAAGAAGCTGCTGTCCCTCTTAACCTTTGCTTTGCAGTCCATTGATAATTCCCACTCAATGGTTGGTAAACTCTCCAGAAGGATATATTTGAGTTCTGCAAGAATGGTTACTGCAGTACCCCATGTATTTTCAAAACTGTTAGAAATGCTGAATGTTTCCAGTTCTACTTATTTTACCAGGATGCGTCGTCGTTTGATGGCTATTGCAGATGAGGTGGAAATTGCTGAGGCCATCCAGCTGGGCATAGAAGACACTTTGAATGGTCGACATGACAGCTTTTTGAAAGCATCAGTCCCTAACAGCTGTCCAGAAGCCACAGAGAACAGTTACTTTGAGCGCACAGACCATTTAGAGAAAACTGGAAAAGGATTGTGTGCTACAAAATTGAGTGCCAGTTCAGAGGACATTTCTGACCGACTGGCCAGCATTTCAGTAGGACTTCCTAGTTCAACAACAATGGAGCAGCCAAAGCCAATGGTTCAAACAAAAGGCAGACCCCACAGTCAGTGTTTGAACTCCTCTCCTTTATCTCACCATTCCCAACTAATGTTCCCAGCCTTGTCAAGCCCTTCTTCATCTGCCCCATCTGTACCACCTGGCACCGTAACAGATGTCTCTAAGCACAGACCTCAGGGGTTTGTTCCCTGCAAAATACCTTCTGCATCTCCTCAAACACAGCGCAAGTTTTCTCTACAGTTCCAGAGAAACTGTTCTGAAAACAAAGATTCAGATAAACTTTCCCCAGTCTTTACTCAGTCAAGACCCCTGCCCTCCAGTAATATACACAGGCCAAAGCCATCTCGACCTACCCCAAGTAATACAAGTAAACAGGGAGATGCCTCAAAAAATAGCATGACACTTGATTTGAACACTAGTTCCAAATGTGATGATGGCTTTGGCAGCAGCAGCAATAGCAGTAATGCTGTTATACCTAGTGACGAGACAGTGTTCACCCCAGTAGAGGAGAAATGCAGATTAGATGTCAATACAGAGCTCAACTCCAGTATTGAGGACCTTCTTGAAGCATCTATGCCTTCAAGTGACACAACAGTAACTTTTAAGTCAGAAGTTGCTGTGCTGTCTCCTGAAAAGGATGAAAATGATGATACCTACAAAGATGATATGAATCATAATCAGAAGTGCAAAGAAAAAATGGAAGCTGAAGAAGAAGAAGCTTTAGCGATTGCCATGGCAATGTCAGCATCTCAGGATGCCCTCCCCATAGTTCCTCAACTACAGGTTGAAAATGGAGAAGACATCATCATCATTCAAAAAGATGTAAGTATAGTCTTTAAGAGGTTAGAGAGTTCCCTCGGGCCGTGCTAAAATAAAACTAATTCAGAAATACAGCTTTTAACATGAGTTAACTGTTAGAAGCAGAGTTTTCACATAGAATTAATTATACAACAATTTTTGTATCATTATTTGAACAGAAATACTCATTGCCTATTTCAGAGGTGCTTCTGGTTGATTCTACAGTGGTGATCACTTATGCGTTTGACATTGGTCACCAACACTGTCAATTCAGAGGTCAAGTTTATAGCTGATTTGGGAAGCCAGACTGAACAAGAGTATATTTGCCAGGCTTGATTTCACAAACTCTTACTTTTTTTTTTTTTTTTTTTTTTTTTTGTTTTCTGG